ATACAAACTGGGCACAGAGTAGGTTGAGAGTAGCCGTGAAGAGAAGGATTTGGGGGTGTTTATAGATGAGAAGCTCAACATGAGCCGGTAGTGTGCTCATGCAGCCCAGAAGGCCAACTGCATCCTGGGATGTATCAAGAGAAGAATGGTCAGCAGGTCAAGAGAGGTGATTCTCCCCCTCTACTCTGCTCTCGTGAGACCCCACCTCGAATACTGCGTCCAGTTCTGGTGTCCCCACCATAAGAGAGACACAGATTTGTTGGAGCAAGTTCAGAGGAGGGCCACAAAGATGATCCAAGGGCTGGAGCACCTCTGCTATGAGGACAGGTTGTGGGAGCTGGGATTGTTCAGCCTTGAAAAGAGAAGAATTCGGGGGGGCCTAATAGCTGCCTTCCAATACGTGAAGGGAACTTACAGGAAGGCTGGGGAGGGACTTCTTACAAGAGTGTCCACTGTTAGGACAAGGGGAAATGGGTTTAAGTTGAAGGAGAACAGATTTAAATTAGATCTCAGGAAGAAATTCTTCAGTACAAGGGTGGTAAGACTTTGGAATAAATTGCCCAGAGAAGTTGTGGATGCCCCCTCCCTGGAGGTGTTCAAGGCCAGGTTAGACGGAGCCTTGAGTAGCCTGATCTAGTTAAGAGGTGTCCCTGCCCATGGCAGGGAGGTTGGATTAGATGATCTCTGAGCCAGAGATCATCCAGCCTATGTCATTCTATCATTCTATGATACTGTCCTTTACAACAAGAAGGATGCAACTCTTCCTATTTGAGTACTCTAAGATTTGCTCATCCTGTGACATTGAAACAGCAGTTGGCACAAGTCTGGAAGAAGACAAGCCACATATGTTAATGATATGAGGTTTTTCATCTATTTTGATTTCTTACTGATGGGCGACAATCCATTCTTATTTATATGTGATTACATTCTATTGATTATCGTCGCTTACTAGGAACTACCAGCAAGCATTGTCCACCACTATTTCTGGAAAGAAATCTTCGCACATTCAGCAACTCAGCACTGGGAGCTAGAAACTCTTCTGGTTTATAGCCTAGCTTCATACTCAGGAGAAAAACATCCCACAACCTAAGCCAAAGCCATCCACGTAGGGAAGGAGGCCTGCTTAACTCTTACCTTCGAACTGGCTGTGCAATTTTACTTCTGGGTATGCCACTCCCATTGATGGCCAGCGATGGTCTTGGAAGAGCACTGCGCCCTACAATCCCCTGACTGGCAGTCTTGTTTGGCATTGGGATCCCAGTGTTAGAATATAACGGCAAGTTGTTGGACACCGGAATACTGCTGCTACTACTACTACTACTACCTTGTACAGTTGGGCTTACGTAGGCAGTAGCTTTGAGAGGCTGTCTGACAGACACTGGAAAATGTCCCACACTGTGAACTCTGTGTTGAAGCTGTCCTGGTGATGGAACTGTAAAGAGTGATAGAAAAGGAAGTAAGAAGGTCAGTATGCAACAGACGAGGCCAGGTAGCAATGCTCATTTCTAGACAGATCGGAATATGGATAAACACATCATTATACAATTCACTTGCTAATTATAAACCGCTGAAAAACTCCTTGGATCCAATACTGTATCCAGTTAACACTGCACTGAAATAAAATACCCTGTTCCATCCCCATCCTGAACAAAAATCCCACCCCATATTCATTTTTCTTTCTCCCCTCAAAGAGTTTTCATTAGCCATTACAAGCACACTAGTTCCACCTATGCAATTAGAGCTTTAAACAGGAGAAACTGCTGAAGGTATAAATTAATTAGTTCGATCATTTAGATTTTTGTAAGGTTGCTTGCAATAACCACATGCAGTTTAAGGAACATTGTATTAAAGCACAATAAAACATCACAGTAGTCTAAGCTTTATGTATAAAAACAATAAAAAGGCTATTAAAAGGTCTTGAATATAACAGCATATTCCAAGGCCAATGTTATGTAAACTATCATTTTAAATCAATGCCATGGCTTCCAGAAGCTTTATATATAGATTTTTCTACACAATCCTGCCCTCTGGTGTCCATCGGACACGCATCTGTTTCAGAGTTCACATATCAAAAGCAAACTGTCAAAAGCCTGAAGCACATAAACTAACATACCACATACAGGCCAATCCTTTTCCAAGTCTTTGAAAAAGGACATCTTAAAATCATTTAAAGACACAGGAGAATATACTGATGTGTGATTCAATTATACAGTACTGGCAATATATTGCTATGGAATTCTTCTAATAACACAGCTCCTTAAATATCCCAGTACAGCCTCCATTCAACTACAGTTCCAGTCTTCTCTTCAAACAGGACAAAAATAAAACAAAATAAATGGTTTGGGTTGGAAGGGACCTTAAAGATCATCTAGTTAACACAGCAATCATGTGTATTTTCCAGAAAAGATGCAATTTAACAGTTTTGAAGACATTTGCAAATTCTGCTCAAACTTGAAAGAAAACACACACAGGAAAAGGTTTTGCCAACTTCTCCCTCCAAAACCTCAAAGGACATGGGAGGCATAAGTTAAATCCTTTCTTCTGCCTGTGTTCAATTAAATCCAGTTTCTCCATTTTGTCTCAGAGTACCTCAACCACTGTGCTATAAAAGACGGGTTTGGATGTTGACCTATCTTGTTCACATTCTACATTAATAATTCAACAGCCACTAGATCAATACTCCCTTCATCAAGAAGTCATCTAAATTAAACTAATTAAAGACTCATTTTAATTCCCCCACTTAACAAGTATATTATACTTGAGAATATAACCCTCTGTTTACCACATTTGCTTGGAAGAAAGTGGCTCAACTTCAGTAGGAGATGAGTCGTGTATTTTAAGTTTTCAATTCTAGTATCAAAACTAAAAATGTAAGCTTATATGAATTAATTGCATTACTGGTGCTTCTACAAGACTATTACTACCACTAATGAATGGGCAAAGAAAAAAAAAATGAGGTGATTAAACTCTCAATATGGCATAACAAGATCGTCAGAATTTGCTTTCCAAAACAAAAACTTCGAAAATCCTGAGCTGTATTAAAATCTGGCGCAAAAGGAACACAGTCTGCTTTTAATTTTTCATAAAGCAGAGGATCAGTGCCTGGGACATGTATTCCACCACCCTATCGATGCCTTGCACGCAGCCAAAGAACATGGGTACTTACTACACGACTGCATCCTTGAAATCCCATTACTCGCTCCATGCAAATTGGAGTCAAAGCTCTGACTGTTCCTCACAGTGACTGGAGAACTAGTAAAGCCAGCGTTATTGTTAACGGTGGGGGTACCTGGCATCCGAGCAAGGTTAGGCATGCTTCTCCGAAGTTTATCTGAAGCAAAAGAAGACAATATCCATAATCACGTCAGAATTTCCAACAAACACATGCAGCCTCTGAACAACTTCTGCAGGAAATCAAAATTAAAACCAATTACTTCAACACAAAGAAAGGTTTTGCTCTGCAGGAAGAATATTAATACGTTATTGACAGCCTACTAATGGAGCCCTTCTGACTACTGTGACAGCACGATTATTCACAAATAATTTTAAAGACACCAGGAGGCAGTGCATTTTTGGAATCACAAGGATTTAAACACTGAAGTGTCATAATAAGGATGAGTCTCACGTAAATGTGTAAAGTAGGTCAGACGAATCATGCCCTAAATGTGCCTGTTTCTTTGCAGTGAATACAAAGCGAGGCTGCAGTCACAAAGTGAGACACAGGTATCTACGCAGAGGATGTCTAAAGACAGGTGAGACGAATGCATCCTGAAGTGACTAAAGTCTTGCTTTCGGCTGCCAATGAGATGCTAAAACACTCCATTCGGTACCCAACCTTATTAGCATGTTAAGTTTCTGCAGGTGGTCATGTGCAAAACCTGCCAAGTCTTGATGATGTTCAGTTGCTTGGAGCCCTGCGTTGACATCAGGATTTTCAAATCTGTTGATTCTCCCTCCTACACAACTTGTGGTGCCTGATTTGGTGGGCATTTTCAGAACAGGTCTGTAGGGCCTTTCACAAAAAGCAAGCTGCAAATGACCCAAATGTTTTTGGGCAGGTTCAACAGCTAAGGTAAGTGTCTAAGAGGTCAGAAGATGTCTGCAACCCCACTCACACTAGCTGATTTGGAGAGAGAAGACGAAACCAAGTCTGACATCTCAAGAAAACTTCCCAACCACAACAGCATTAGGTAATCTAAGGTGAAGCTCTTTTGGTCTCTTCTGCTGCAGGGCCAAAGGGAGATGACTCAGTTCTGTATAATCAGAAGAGACTGGCGGGGGCAGAAAAGCAGACACTGAATGACCTGGTCTGAGTTGCCTCCTGTGACATGACCAACTTCAGTAAAGCATCGCTGTGGGGAAACAAGAGGTCATTTGTTAAATTGTCATCAACACCACCAGTAAAGCTGGCCTCTCGGCTAGGTTCAGGAGTACAAATGCTGTGCTCTGCTGAGGTGGCTACATTCCTCCTGATACCATGGTCAGCATGGAGGCCACCAGCCCCTGCCCCTGCCATAGGTTTCAGCGCCAGGCAGACCTCTGCCTCCAGTTCTTACACTACAACAGAAAGCAGGGGTATGCTTGTCTCCTGACAGGCAGCTAGGACTGCTCTCTCCAATGGAAAGCAGGACATTTCAAGATTGATGTTTCGGATTCATGCATAGGAACGACACATCACACAGGGCTTGCAATTACTGCTTTGGGTCGACCACTTGGCTCACACAGGGCAAGTTCACTCCACAGAAACAACGAATTGACTTAGGAGTCTCTGTTTATCAGTCCACATAAATATATAACCTATTTAGCACCATCATGAGCTCTTCTAATCCTTAAAGCTGCTAACAACTGATGAGTAATACGAAGTGACAGTACAGTTCCATCTATCCAATGTATCAGTACTCACTAACAGTAACTTTAATGTACAGGATGCCTATGTACCCCCAGTGAACTGAGTCACAGCAAGGCTACAACTCCAGCTGTTTTTTATGACTGGTTCTCATGACAAGAACTGGTACAGAATCCTGCAAATAGTCAAAAACATCCTTGCACTTCAAAGGTCCAGCATTCCTAATTATTAGTCCCAATTACTAGTGCCTACCTGCCCTTGACACTGTATCATGCACACTTGTCCTGTAATGATGAGACATTCTTCCCTTCCATCCCAACTAAAGTTGACAGTTGACTTTTAGTTACCACAGACAGTCTGACACAGAAAACCAACGCTGTCTAGGAAATAGTTTAAATATTCCCATGACTTAAATACATTACATTTTCATATTTTTGAAATCAAACAGTAGGTATGGGAGGTGAGACAGGGAGGAGTTCAGTGCAAGTAAAGGAAATGCAAGGTTTGAGTTCCCAGAAACTAGAGTACAGCCAATCTTAATAAAGAACGAGTTTAAGGGTAATCCTTTATCAAGGAGTTAGAGGTGTGGTGCTTCAGTGAATCATCACTGACTATGGCAAGCTGAAACTGCCAGTGGTACAGCAATGAACATCAGCAAAGGGATTACCACTGTGGTTCAGTCAGGTGGTAAGTATTAATATCACTGATATAACAACGATAAAACAGTTATCAGGCTTCCAACACTGTCCTAGGGATGCAAACAATGGCATCCATACAGCTACTATTTATCCCTATTTATGAAACACTCATGATTTTGCAAACTGGAAAGGGAACTGCCTTCTTCTGGTGCAAGCCTTGGCTCAGAGTGGCAGAAAATTCATGAGTATGGGATGTCTGCAGCTACTGTTAATTTTGCAGCCCTAGCCTACTGTTCAAAATCCTAGGTCCTGAAATCCCAGGTTAACATTACAGCACTTGGCAAAATAGTTTTGAGGAGCAGGATGGTGGTAGGAAAGATGGCACTGCCTAAAATAGCTTTTTGTCTAATATTATGCACTATCACGCTATATAAGCAGAATTCCTTGGATTCTACATGCTCTTCCACTCAGAGACTGCATCAGCCACTGCAGGCACGATCTGCTCCTTGAATTATCCAATGCATGCAGCTACAATATCAGGAAAAATAGGTAGAGAAGTAGCTTGAATTTCCTTCATGTCATGGGCGGCCACGTCTTCTGCCTCCTGTTCATTAGTCCCTTCTCGCTCCAGCAGCATGCTCT